ACTCGATTAATAAATATTAAAATTATGATAATATCTCGCCGATAAAACGATGGAAAGGAGATGTAGATAGAATAAAAATGTATCGATAAAGAACGAGAGTATCGGTAATACTAGCATAAACGATATTGTTAATACGAAAAAGTGTTAAAGTGAAAAGTGTTAAAGTATCCGGCTACGTATTAAAATAATACAGCAACGAGTCACGCGAATTATGCACGCGAATTATTGTATAGCGATAAAAGATACGAAGGTCGTCGACGCTAAAAATATTACGATGCATTATTCTTGAAACAACAAAAATAATAAAAACAGATACGAACGTTTACAGCCAACTGGAGGAAAATTATTATTACGCAGGAATGGAGGATAAGCAAAGTAATCGGCAAACGACCTCGAACGACGAAAGGAATCTTAATGGAATAATAAATGTATTCCGACTAATAGAACTCGGTATTGCCAGTCAGTAGTACGCAACTTCCTCGTAACGATGCTATATAATTTTTACATGCATTCCGTCAATGTACTTCTTTCCGCTTTTCTTTTTCCTCCCGCAAACATGCAATCTTTCTCCTTACTCGACATATTCGTGCGTTTTTTACCGCGTCCTCTACTCGCTTATCACACCTGGTGTTTTCTATTTGCCAGATTGCGTACAATTTACTGTCATTAGATAATAAAATTTTATTTGCCAGGTTACATTCAATTGTCTAGCATTATATAGTATACAATGAAACAAGAAAAGGAAAGGACGTGTAGGATATCTTCGACTCTGAGGAACATCATAGCAGTACTTTTCTCGTAATAGAGGAAAGAAAAGTCGAAGTTAGTCGACGTACGAAGTTAGAATGCAACGAAACGATCGTACAAATCGACGATTAGCGTAGTAAGCGAGCATTCTTGATGAAACGTAGAATTAGCATAACGCGTTTCGAATTCCAAAGCATTTCGTGATTTTTAACTCCTCCGATGGAGGATTAAATGTAAAAGAGGACGATGTTAGGTGCCAGGAATGAAATATTCGGTGTATAATAGCCGGTAGTGCGCGCTCGTCGAACGTTTAATTTACATATGGTAACGTTTAATGTTCTCGATCGCTTCTTAGGTGCCATATCGTTTCTTAAACGATTCGGAAGAGAAAAGTTAAGCGTCAAAGGCGAGTTAAACCTTATCGAGTATTCGTCTTGTATCGTTTGTTTAGGATTTTCAAACTTTTCGTGACTTTGTTCCTTGACGATTGAAAGTACTAGATACGAAATATTGCCGTAGGAAAAATCGTACCGATTAGCGTTACAAACGATTAAACTACAAAGAGCCGCGCGCTTGTTAAAAACAGCTTTATAAAAAATACCAAATACCTAGCCAGAGACCAAGTTAAGAAGAAAAAACATTTGCGAATAGACGGACTAAAAATATAGATATTTACGTAGATTTTTATGTATCGGAGGAGGATATTTGTCGAGCAAAAATTGTACCTCAAATTTCCAACATCGCGCAAATTCAATCGGATCGACGGATCTCTTTGATCGGTTGAAGCAAAATGATCGTAGAAGACTAGTTAATGACAACGTTGGCGTTAAAACTAATCCAGCTACGGCTAATCGCTTGTCGTTTCTAAATTTAAAACTAGCCCTATCTTCAGCTACTAAATATGTTGATCGAACGAACCGGATAATGTGAAGTTGGTCGTAAAAATAGTGGTAAAGATCAGTTCCATTGGCACGCTTGCGCGATAGTTTGAAAACAGGTAATGAACTCGCGTAGCCGATCAATATCAATCGCGTTACGATCAATTTTTCGATTTACGCGATACCACGCAGCTATTTATCGCCGACATACGCCTCTGTGTGACTCTAGGGAAATTTAATTAATTAATTTACATATCTCGTATTTCATGCATAAAAATTAACATCGATTATTCGATTTATGGGTTCACTGCTGACACGCCTCCATGTAAATGCAAAGATATCCAGTTAATTAATTCACGCGTGAAACTTCGCAACCAGAAGGATTGCGAACGATCGTTGCCATTGACAAACGCGTGTGAATTCAAAGTCAATGTACGACTGACGCTCCTCCGTATAAATCTAAATATACGTAATTAATTAATTGGCGCGTTAAATGTATGAATTTAGAAACGTAGCAGCGGATACGCCTCTTCCGTTTCCGATCTTTGGCACGATCTTTGGCATTTTTTTATCGAAAATATGAAAAGTAAGACGGAGATCGTGGCTTTGGAACCTAGGGAATCGTCGTAAAACGAGTTACCTTCGTTTCATCGATCCCGAAATCGAATCCAGCGCCGTGCCGTTCGAGAGGAATGCAGGTTACGTGTTGTCCTTCTGCCGAACGTGTCCCGTTATCTGTGCCTCTGCGCCCAACCTGTGCACGTGTTTAAACCAACAGATGCTGAAAAGACAGCGGAAAGACCGGTGGAATCCTACGGGGCAGGTTACGCACTTTCCACACTTTTGGCGCGGACGTTAATTATCAAGGTGCGTACGAGGCTGGTCGTATAGTAAAACCCAGTCAGTCGGTCGTTCGGCCTTGGAAGAGTAAACTCCGCTGGAAACGCACCCTCTTCTCGCCTGAACGCTCGGAAAAATCAACGCTTCGAGAACCTCGACACCGTCCGATTATTTTCGAACTCTAAAGATACTTCAAATTTCGTGTAAGCTGCTAGTTGGTGTTTTTTTTTGTTTTTTTTTTATCGTATAGCGTATCAACGAATCGCTCGATTTTCGGCAAATCTTTGCGAATATCGTTTACCGATGAATTTAGCTGTGGTTTAATGATTCGGTGTGATCGTACAAAAACGGACATGGAAAGGATCGTGATGAGAAACGTGCCGAAATTTGTAGTGAAAAGTGTTGGTTAATTTAGGACGCTTATTTGCTAAGCAAATGGTACAGGCAAATGGTAAATTCGTGCGTATTGATTCGCAGATGCAGATGGAGTGCGAACGGAGTATGTCGATGTATCTCAGTATAAATTCTTAGATTGGAATTTTCTAAATAAACTTGTTTGGAAACAGAGAACGTGGAACACGTTCGTCGAACGGTACATCGTTGTGCGACAAAAGATGCTTCGTTGAAAATTCCTACTGTATCGCGAATCTTTCGCATCGAATAGACAGAAAATCATATCTACAGAAAGGAAATAACAACGGTATTTCCACGAAAGTGGAACAGAAATTATCTACCTGATCGTTTTTCCATCATCCAGGACGAAATATCATCTCGCGTAAAGATTTTATCGAACGATTGTATCTGTCGATCGAATTTGAACGTTTGGATAATCTAATTAACATTTGCGTATATCGATTTATGTATAAAGACCGTTATTAATTTAATTTCCGCGTCGATTACCTTTTTATCGAAAAAGATATCGCGGCGTGTGGATTTAGAAATTCTCTTCGTCAAACTACCGACTAATGAGTTTCATCGTTGTTTGGTACTTTACAGCAACGAGCAACGTGAACCGTAGAGACGAACGAACGGAGAAACGTAGAAATATGGAAGCAGCGAATGGTGAGTCGATATCCTCGGAAATAAGGTATAACGATTGACCCGTAAAAAGAAGCAGCAAGATTCCACCTCTCAACTTGATGCTCTCTCCATTGATCGGAACTTTTATTCGAGACATTTAAAACCCGATAAACTTCAAATTAGAAACAATAGGATGCAACGCTCGAGCCAATTTATCTAACATTCGAAATCCTCTGGTTGTTATACGTCGTATACTGCTCTACTCTCTTTCACGCGATGCAACAGAGAAGTCACGAAGGAGAACGTATTCGTTCAATTATTTCTACGAAACGATCGCTACTATCGAGTGACCTGAAACGTTTCTCCTCAAAGTCGAGAACCGTAAAATATTAATTTACGACCAACACAGATATCGATTTAGAAACTAAATTTGTAACGTTAACGATCATAATTTCGACACGTAATTTCGACGAGGTATGATACAAACGATCAGAGTATCAGACGAGAAACGTTTTTTCAAGGCTGAAACGACGATGATGTGCGAACATGAAAAAAAATTCATCTTGGAACTCCTTCTCGAAATCAACGAGCGCGAACGATATGGATTAAGCGACGATCTACGAGGAACAAACGATTAACGTAAATAATTAATGGGTGATTAAAGGACGAACGTTGGCACAGAAAGACTGGAAAGACTGGAAAGACTGGAAAGAGAGCGCCTAAAGTTACGCACGTTGAAGAAGGTTGGAATCGTGAGTCATCGGGGAACCGGACGAAAGCAAGATGAGTGGCAGGGGAAAAGGGGACACGAGAGGGGACACGAAAGGGGGAGAGGACAGGCTGGTTGAAAGTCGAGCGATCCGTGATTCGAGTGGCGAAAAAAAGAGACGCTGACAAGGCTCGTTCCGATCGTTTATTTCTATATCTACCGTCGGTGGATTTACATAAGGATCAATGTCGTCTATTCCTCCGGTTCTGATGCTGTGGCTTCTGGTGGTGTCGCTGCCGCTGC